CTTTTCAGTTCTCCAGATCTGGCCTTGTATGTGCTTGGTATGTCCCTTCTCCACTTTCTTCTATACTGTTCACAGTTGTATCTCCAAAGAAATATCAAGATCATAGAACAAAAGAAACTACACGCAAATGCAATTTTTGTATATTTGAGTTAAATACATCATAATCCCTTTTCCCTTCATTCTTTCTCAAACAGAGTGAATTCCCAAAGTAACTAGTCAGCTTTCATGAAGTCACAATTTTTCTCTGTGTCACAGGATAAAGTTTTTCCTTTGATTTTCCTTACCAGCCTCCCTACATCACAACATGATTATAAGGATTAGCTAAATCTTATTCAGAATTCAGAAGCTGTGGCAAACTATGCAAACAATGGATAAAATTATTTTTTTAAATGTAATAGTTATCAGTAATTTTAAATAGGTTTATTGACTGTACTTCAGGCATGGAACAGAATACTTATGATAGAGATGAACAGGGAATGACCATCTAAACCATCACTCATTCATTTTTTTCCCCATGTGCTTCATCACTTACACAAAAGGAGAGTTTTTTTGTGGATATTGTATTGCATTTCTGCATCATTCTTCATAGTATGTATATCACTACTAGAAGTGTTCAGATCTGATCCTCCTCACACTGTCAATAAACCTGGAAAAACCAACCAGTCTTCTGGACCTTTATGTAGGAAAACAGTTTTAGTTATGCTGATTAACACAGATTATCTAGAAATTCTGAATTGAATCATGTATATTTAAAATTACGTAGCTAAAAAATGATGAGTTGGACCTCTGAACCTCTGTAACACTGTCCATGTAATGCTTCCAGAGGAACAGGATCTGAAAAACCTAGACAGATTATAGTTGGAAATACTACAATATAAATATTTATTTAACACAGCAAATAAATCTGCAAGGACATTAATGGAAAATGTGTCCCAGTAATCTAACCTATGAGTAGGGTTTGAGAATGGAGTTTGACCATTTATATGAAGTGTTTTTCCTCTATCAGCCTTGAATGGAAGTATTTTTGCAGGTTTACAGCTTAAATTTTAAACGAATATTTTTTGTTTTTCTAGTTGATTGTTACATTGACGAACTGTGTCATGTAATCATGACATATCACTCAGTATTGACAGAAGTTATTTATTTCCACAAAGGGAACTGTTATACCTATATAATTATAACTCCACTTTAATTACCCTTCTTAGCTTAGTTTTGAAGTCTCATCTCTCAGCACTGAAATCTCTATCTGGTTTTAACTGTGGTTTTGGGTTTCTTTCTGTTTTTTGGGGGGGGGGGGGGGGTTTGTTGATTTTTTTGTTGTTGTGTTTTTGTTTGTGTTTTGTTTTGTTTTTGTTGTTGTTGGGTTTTTGGGGGGAGTTAAATTTCTTTTTTCTTTACATAGACTTGGTGTGATTACTTAAAATACTTTTAGTTTATACATTTTATAAGATGAGAAGTCATAGCAAATGGAATAACTTATATTTAATATCTTGTTTTTCTTGCCTGGTAGAATCTTGTGAATAAGTAAAAAATAGAGAGATATAAAACTTATGGTTCAATATCTGTATTTTAGAGGTATATAGACTTTATTTCCAGGACCTACTGCCTGCACATTAAGTGCTTTGTCCCCCTCCAGAATACTGCAAAGGTACTGAGCTGGTCTCACCCTGAAATGCTGACAGTGTTCCCACAAGAGGGCGCCAGGCACGGGAAACTGCCTTCACATTCATTAACATCAACCTTATAGTTCATCTCTGCTTCTTAATCACTTATAGTACTATAATGCATAATATCAAATGAAGCCCCTTTTACATCTACTACACAAAGAAATTACCTTTTAGCCAATTTGTACTCATAATTACCTATGTTTAAACATCAGTTTATGACACTTGTTATATTTCATCTGTGTCCAGAGAGGTACTTTGCTAACACAGTTGTAAATCAATGTTCCAGTCTATTGACTATGTGTGGACCCCTTCTCACACAGGAAATTCACATAGGCAAAATTAAGCACTTTCTGAAACAAACAAGGCAAAAGATTGATTGTACCTCTAGAAATTTTCATATGTGCCCTTTTCACCTTCACCTTTCACCATCTCTTGCAGCAGGCAGGATCTGCCTCATTCATGCCCTTGAAGCTGCTCCAGCCCTAATCATCATGGCATCACACAGCAGAGAGCACCTGCACTGGTGGAGTGACATTGCCTTGCAAATCATCTCCATGTAACTTGCCTGATCTTACCTTCTGTCCACCAAACCAGTTGTGACACTCCTGCACAAAGAAAGTTCTTCTTCGGTAAAGGTGGAATCTAAAGCTGGTTTTCCCACATGGACACTCTTACTTCAGGGGAAAAAAAATGTCCTTTGTGAAGGGGTTTCACTCCTATTGTCTTTTTGTCTGGCATTTGAACCTACAAGAGGCAGCCTCTATAATGGAGGATTTCTCATCAGTGTTTGTCCTATTTTCAAGATAATTACGCAATTGGGATTCTAAGTGCTGGGAGAAAATGTTTCAAAGTAGTTAAATGGATTTGTAATCTAGAGTTCTAAAACTGCTGTGAACCATGTCTACTTGACGTCATCTGTGCACAAACAAGTCCCTGTTTTCTTCTGTATAGAAGTGAGCTGTTTCAGCAATGTTTAATCAACCAGTACTAACTGACCTTCTCAAATCCACAGATTCATTTTCAATAAATGTTTAACTACTGTTTTCTAAAGCCAAAGGTTCACAACATGTAAAGCCTACTTTTTAATCTTTTAATCTTAATTTTATAGTTACCAAACAGCATGATTTCTATAGGACTACATGACTTATCTACCCTCAACCATTTGATATTAAATAATTAATATCATGTCAGCTTTCTATACTAAGAGTGGAATCCCAGAAATGACCAAAGTATGCATACATTCTAAGGCCAGGAGTTTGGAGGAGGATTAGTCTCAATCTTCTATTGAGTTGCCTCAAATACAGAAGATTAAGGATATGCTAAATACACTGAAAATAATTCTCCTCCACAATAGAAAATGCACATTTGGATGGACTTGTATGAAACCACTAACCTTTCAAATGATTGCAATTTCAGTTCACAATACTTCTTTCTACCTGTCTTCCATAGTGGGAATGGAGGAGTAAAACTCATCTCCCACTCATCTCACAAACCCCAAAAGTTCAGAGATAAAATCTCATCATCAACTCAAGGACAGTATATCTTCCCTGTAAGATAGAAGATGTTAGTTATCCTCAGGCATAGATACCAAAACCTTAGGTATATTTTGAACTGATCTTGACTATTTTATACTGAAGTACAGCTCTTTCTGCAGATTACTGTTGTGCTTGTCTCCACATTTAAGGCAAATCGTCCCTTATCAGAGACTTGGTGGTTTGTTACTGTGTCATATATCCCCAGGTTGTTCTGCCTCCTTGCGGCTACCCAGTTTCAGTGCACTCATCCAAAATTTTGTTGGGTCTTTGCTATTTGCTGTTCTTTACTACTGAGACTGCAATAGCTGCTCTAGATGGTTGTAAAACATTGCTTACCCTTAAAAAATGAGCTAACTTTCATGTTTTGTAAATTTTCCTAAACCCACCTGCCTCTAAAACAAAATTTTTATGATGCTGGGCTGTTGACCACTTGCCAAAGACTAAAATATCTTGTTCAGAAGAGCACTTCTATTCATATCTGATATCTTCAGGAGTGCCTGTAATACTGGGCATGGGCAAATTAGGCCAAAGTTGTTTACACTTTTAGGAGAAGACATTTATGCATGCCTTCCAAGTATTTAATGCATAGATACGCAATGTACTTTGCATGAAGATAGAATGTACATATATGCAAAGATGTGCATCTTGTAAAAGACTTTTGCCCTATGTTTGACACCATTTGGAATTATTTCAATTTGTGGTTTCAACTTAGAATTTGAGACTGTGCTTATTCAACTCATGAATGTATTCTATTGAAAAATATTTTTTTAATATTCATCTTCTTAGATAATATGAATATAAAATAATAGATAGTACAAAAAAATCTGAGTAGTACACTCGTATTCGGGTTTGTGTTTTTCAAATTATCGTGTGAAAGTGTGTATCTAGGGTCAGGTGTTAGACAAACCTGGTTTCCTTTACTAGTGCTTGGATTTTTCTGATCAAACATAAGCAGCAAAACATATTGCTTGATTTTGCTGCAAAATCAGGAAGGCTAGAACCAAAAGAAATGAGATTTGGGAGGATCTTAATTCTCTTGCAGCAGTATTTGTGCGAGGTACTTTAACTTCTAGCTTTTGAAGTGGGACTCAGCCTCTGTCTTTCTATTGAACAGATTTGGAGAGTTTGTTATAAAAGTCTCATTGGGTCCAGCTGCCAGGGGCTTTTTCCTTGCAGCTTTTTTATGGTGTTGGATAAGGCTGGGACAGGTGGGGTTAACATGACCTCTGTAAACTGAGTAAGTTAATACTTGATGGAATCCGTTACTGAATATGTGGTTTTCTTGTACTGAAGAGTCAGGATGAGAGCATTCCTGTGCAGCAGAAGATACTGACCTTGCTCTGTAGGTTGTGTGCAGTTCGCTATAATCTACAATCACACACACAGAGTGTTGCAATCATGTGGTGAAACCAAGCTGACTTATGAATTTTGGGGCACAATTTCAGGACCGTTAGCACTGAAGTGCGACCACTAAAACAGAACTACCAGCACCCGTGTCTCGATCGACTCCTTGTCGTGACTACACATAACGAGTGCCCCTCGCATCCCCCTCGCTTCTCCCCGCACAACGTATGGGACAAGATCTGGTTAAAAAAAAAAAAAAAAAAAAAAAAAGGGGTGCGGCGGGGATTCCCCACGGCGGGCGGATGTTTCAGAACGTCGGTGGGAGGGAGGGGTGGGGTCGCTTTGCTCACGGTCAGCCCCGGCGGTGGCGGGCCCGCCCCGGCCCGGCCCGCCCCGCCCCGCCGAGGCAAGTGGCGGTGCTGGCGGCCGCGGCCGCAGTCGCTCGGCCGCCACCATGACGGACCGCTCCGCTTTCGACACCAATGTCATCACCATGACCCGCTTCGTGATGGAGGAAGGCAGGCGGGCGAAGGGCACCGGGGAGTTCACGCAGCTCCTCAACTCGCTCTGCACGGCCATCAAAGCCATCTCCACCGCTGTCCGCAAAGCGGGCATTGCCAACCTGTGAGTCCCGGGATGCGCCCCGCGCCTTTCCGCATCCCCGCGGGTCCAGGGCATCCTGCTGCCTCCGGGGTGGTGGGTATCGGAATGAGGATGGGCATGGGTATTTCTTTCACCAGGAAAGTCTGTGAGTAGGGTTACATCAACCCATCCTCTCGCACAGAGTAGGAGGTAACTCCTTTAGTATCTTGGTTTCTTGATTTTTTCCAAGTGACACAGGTCCTATGACTTTTCAACAGTGTAAGGTGCCTAGCCTTTGAGAAATGTCTGCTGATATTAGAACTTAGTTAATACTTTCAGCCGGTGCAGGTGCCTGAAGCCATTAGACCAAGTATACTGAAACACAAAGCGTAGCAAAATAAGGCTGAGTTATTGCTCATTGAATATTGCTTAATATCAAAGCATCATTTTATCTTTTGAGTTGTCAAATCAAATTCAGAGTGGTTTTTTTTCCCATGGTGCATCATAGCAAATAGACTTTCTTTATGAAATTTTGGATATCTAAGGCTTTTAGAAAGTGCACTGGTTTGGAACAGTAGTGTCTGTAATCAGCCAGTCAGAAGGATGTTGTTCTGGAGATGCATCAGAAGGAATTTGGAACTCTTGAAATGTGAAATGCCTGAAACTATTTGTAGGTAACTAATCCTCATAAGTATTTTACTTACTAAGTAAATTACTAAGTATCTTCATATGCCCCGTTGTGTGCTGGTCAAGGCTTTAGACATCGACTACTTCATTACTTAATGGAAAATGTTGTAAAGAGAAAATGAACTTGCCTCTACAAGCTATTCAGAGGAAAATATATTAAGAAAAAAGGCAAAAATCCTCCTTTTGTATGTTTGAGCTATTTTTCTGTTTTGACTTCAGACTGCATGTAACTGCAGTAATTTTTAATTGTGATGTTCTAGTCCTTTCATATGCCTCTTGTATCTATCAATAGAGACCAGGGTGTCCCAGCTCTAATCTGATTTGTAAGCTCAGGGCCCTATTCCTTTAGTCTCTTACATGTGTGTCTGTTGGCAGCTGCCCACAGGTTTGGTATCTGTGCCCATAGACTTGCCTTATGATCCCCTGCACAGTGGGTTCAACTCTCCATCAATGCTGGGGTAGCAGGCTTTGGACTCATAAGCCTCCTTGAACAGTACATTTCCTGCTGTGGAACTGCATTTTATAAGCAGTGGTGAGATTTTGCTTTGCTCTCAGGGAATGTGAGCAAGTAGGGATCACTGCAGTCCATTTCTTTGGAGCACCCTCAGACTCAACTATGTGCTTAGTGCTGCTCAGCATGGGAGGTGCAGAACAGCTGTGGAAGACATGCAGACCCTTCCCAGCTGCAGGTTCCACACCTGATACATCTCCTCCTCCCAGGATTCCCCAAAGGATGAGGTACAGAAGCTTTTCTGCTGCTGTGCCTCCACTCAAAAGCACAATGTTCCAAGTACTTCTTTTCTAAAAGCACTTTCACAGTGGCAGAAAAATATTCTCTACCTGTAGCAGAGGTAGAGAAAGACATAGAGTTATGCCAGGTCTTTGTCTCATGCATAACACTGAAGAAATGCATTGCTAAAGTAATGTGTTCAGTGTTAGTACATAAAACCTGAAATACCAGTGTTCAGCCTAATCAATGAACCGTAGCTGAAAGACCTAAGAGTCATCTGAATGTGTGCTGAGCTGGCTATTGTTTTCCCCTTCAAAGAGCTAAATTTCCCCTTTCTCTGTTTTGCGTGCTTATGTAATCACCTATCATAAGGTCTCCTGATATTTCCGTATGCCAGATGGTTTGATTCTGATTAGCTTGCAGCATTTTATTTGCATTTCTTATTTGTATTTCTCAGTTCTTTTCACAAGGAGACATTTACTACTTCAAATCAAAACTGAAAATATTACATCATTAATAGGTTGATTTGTCTGTGAACAGACTTTTTCTGCTGCAATTTCCACGTCATATTGCTCATCAGGAGTATATTGCATACAAAGAATATAGCATAACTAGTGTGGTCAGATTCACATGTATATTCATATTTTTAAAGTATATATATACATATGCTTTTAAAACATTGAATATTCAAATGAATTCCTAGCTTTTAGGGTATGCAGAGCCTAGAATTCAGGAATACTTAGGTCTTAAGTGCTCATTAAAAAACACAGTTGTAACTCAGCCTTCACAGCCTGGTCTGGCTGTGTTTTACTATAGTTTACAAACTACTGAAATGCAATTCCTTGTTTTGTATTTCTTAGCAACTTCTAGATATGCAAACACAGCTAATGATAACATATCTCAGCAAGAATTCACTGTCCAGTAAATATAAAACAGGTTTAGAGAGCTGCCGTGTCATTTGAAAATGCAGGACGTTTACAGGAAGTTTTACAGGTGTAACAAACAGAATCTTTTAGAAGATGCAGTGCGCCATTCTCATGAAATGCTCTCTCTTGCAATTGCTCTAGCTATGGAATTGCTGGGTCTACCAATGTGACTGGAGATCAAGTAAAAAAGCTGGATATTCTTTCCAATGACCTGGTGATTAACATGCTCAAGTCATCCTTCAGTACATGTGTTATCGTGTCCGAAGAAAACAAAGATGCTGTGATAGTGGAAACTGAAAAACAGGTTAGTAACTTTAAAAGTTCTCCCTGCTTGATTTCAGATCAGCCTGTGCAGGTGTACTGTTCCACATCTAAAGAGGTAAAACTGAACTAAAAGTTTCAGAAAAAAGGTACTTTCCTAAACTGTCAAATGAAGGTGGAGGTGATGGGTGGAAAGAGTGTTAGTCAACATTGGTTCTTTCTGTCATTTCTGCTCTCCAGACTGATGTTTGTTGGTTTTATTTATTTTTTAGGTGTTGTTCCTCCCCACCTTCTTTTTCTTCCACCTTGTTCTTATTGTGGGGAAGGCATTTCATTCACCCCCATCTGTTCTCTAGAACTATGCTCTGAGTCAGTCAAGCCCTTTTGAAGTGAGACACTGATGAGCTGTTCTCTGCAGGTCAAATCTCGAGGTCTTTAATTGATGCAAATTCTCCTTGAAGCCTGTGAAAGACTCAACAACAATGAAAAAAAAAGCACTTTTTACATTTGTTATTCTTTATATTCACAAGCCTGCATGCGCTTGTTGTGGGATAGTTTCTATTTCCCAGCTAGTATTCTGATAATGTAAAAACCTGAGTAAAAATTTAGTCAAAACAATCAGCAAAAACATAATTTACAAAGTATAATGAGGCTTGCTTTGTTTAAGCAGTTCTTTCTCTCCCTGTTAAGAAATCTTCAAAATTTATTTTCTAGGCATTGGATTTCCTTAGATCTGAACAAACATTCTCAAAGATCACTGAGGGAGTCTAAGTATTAATGCTTTTCTAAACTAAATGTGAGCCAATACACTGTTTTTATCAATGCATACCAGGAATTCCTACTTGCAGAGTAGAGCATTGCTGAACTTAAGTTTAAGTTTCTGACATGCAGGATAAAATCCAATGAAAAACAAACGAACACTGTTTTTACACAGTATTATTAAGACAACTATGAATAAAATGATGGGGGAACAAAATATTTAAAAGGTACAGTTAGTTCAGCTTTTCCTCTGTACTGTCAATTCCCTATATTAAAGAATCCTACTGGATTTCTTAATCCGGCAATAAGGTAGAGATTTCTTTTTGATCCCCCGAAACCCAGGGTAAGATCAGTCTGTCTAAAGTAGTAGCTGACCATTTCAGAGCACAGGTAAAGGAAAATTTATAGTTTAGGCATGGCAGCTATTAAAGAGCTTTTTAGTACCTCTATAGGTAGAGGTAAAATATGGTTTTTAGCTCTACATGAAAAAGGATGATCTTCATTTTGTTTTTTCTCCTTACCATTCAGAAAGACATGTTGTAACCAAAGAGAAAGTGCAGCCTAGCCTAGATGGTGGATATTTGACTTCAATTACAGAGATGAAACTAAACCAATAAAAGTATTCCCCTTTTTTTCCTCACATTAAAAAGTGTATGAGAAAGCTTCACTTTTTCTGTGTTATCATCTGCGATGTCCTTTAAAGATTTCTCAGCTTCTCCTCTGGTTTGGCACAAATCACAGTTGTAATTAAGGGTTGAAATCTGGGCCAAAGAATTGCTGACGTTTGAATTTGGTTCCTTCATAATCGATAAAGTTGTTTTAGCTTATATTGCTGTGTAAGTCTCTGAGAAAATTTACCTACTGAAATGTTTTTATTTGGAGGAAGTGGATAAATACTGTCACTAATCTAGTCCTCTTTTTTGTGTTTTTTAGGGTAAATACATAGTCTGCATAGACCCTCTAGATGGTTCATCAAACATTGACTGTCTTGTTTCCATTGGGACCATCTTTGCAATTTATAGAAAGGTAAAATTCTTTCATGTAGGATAGGAAAAACTATTATTGTGCAGCTTTTGGTGAAATAAAATTGCATGGGAATGCAATAAAATCTAACTAAACTTGTTTGTGAAAGAGACTCAGGGCCAGCATTAAGTTAGATCTAGTATTTCACAGGCACATGGATTTGAATTTGAATGTCTCTTAGACGAAGAAGAACCTATGTGTACATGGAAGCCCAGCTAATATTTAATTAGCCATCTAATGAAATTACCTCTTGGAAAAGATCATGTCTTAAGTTTCATGAATATTTGTGTTGAGGCAAAATACCACGTGGTTGTCATCTACTTGGGGAATGTGCTTTCAGGTTTTCTTGTTCTCTGTGCTAATAGTTCTGTTGGCCTGAGGACAGGCTTCAAAAACAAACCACAGCTGAAACATGTCATATGCATTTGAAGTGTCTAATTCACTCTGAAAGGCAGAAACACTGTCTGAAGGAGGTTGAAATACCAGACTTACAGGTCACAACGTAAGGGAAAAAGCAAATCAGATAAAACACACCCAACTGTCCATTTTAATCGTCTTTTGCATGTTGTCATATATCCCAAAGTAGCTATTTTCAAATTCATTTTTGTGTGAAGCAAAAGAAAATTTAAAAAATCCCAAGTACTTTTGATCAACTTTGAACTCCGTGAGTCATTTTCTTTTCAACTGTGCCTCTGAGTTTTCCTCTGAGCTGTGTTCATCATCACCTACAAGGAGGTGCATAGCTCTTTATTATCTCCTTAATCCTTTCCTGCTTCCTGCATTCCTGCTAGGCTTAGTTAGAAGTTTAGAAGTGCACTTCTAGATCGATGTGTTTGTATCCTATGTATAATTTGAATTACTACATCCAGTAAGAATCTTAGTTGAAGATCATGGAAACATTTGTGCTACCACATGGCATGGATATGGAGCAGAAGACTGTCCCTATCCCAGAGTCCTGTCATGTACCAGCAGTAGAAATGAAATAAAATTGACCATACTCTTTCTTGTTCTAGGTGTCCCCTAATGAACCTTCTGGGAAAGATGCTTTGCAGCCTGGACGCAATCTTGTGGCAGCTGGTTATGCACTCTATGGGAGTGCCACCATGCTGGTACTGGCAACTTCTGCTGGAGGTGTCAACTGTTTCATGCTGGATCCGGTGAGAATATCTTCTCTTTCTTTGTTTCTGTATTAGGGATTGCCAGGTACTGTCTATAAGAACTGTCTGTCCCCAGGAAAATCAACCAAAGGAGCAGTTTTCAAGGTAGTATGAAGGAATGAAGTACAAATGTACTTGTACTTATAACCCACCAGCAATAAAGTCAAGAGACTTGCATTCCACCTGCCTGATGCAGAGGTGCCATGTGTGAAAGAACAACAGGAAGACAGCCGAGTCAGCAGAGCAAATACACAGCGTGTGCAATCATGTGATATTTAAAATAAGCAGTTTTCTGCAGTACAAAATACCCTTTACGTCTTATTTGTCTTTTCCTTAATGCTAGGACCTTAGTAAACCAGAGGACCATAAATATTTAACCTTCTTTCTGTATTTTGAGATCCCACCATGATATGTAAAAGAGTAAGTGATGTGTATGAGTGATGTGACCTTCTAGCATGCATTTGCCATGAGTTTTAAAACAAAAGTCACATTGATCACAGCAGGGAGTAGTTTGCTTTAGAGGCCTGTTTCTTTGTGATCAGACAGGGTGCCACCTGCCAGTCTTAAATTTTTATGACCTGCAGTGATCAAGCTGCAGGAAATATAACTTTGTACTCTCTGTTTAGTAGCAGCTTAAATAGATGCATGTATTTTTGACTTTATTCAAGTAACGGATCTAACTTTGAGTTGAGATCTAACATAGAGCATGCATGTTACTTCGTTTACTGTTAGCACTAACTTGGAAATTTACTTTAGAGAAAACTAAACAGACCAGCCCTTGGTCACACGCTTCTGTTAGCCCAAGCAAAAAAGAACTGGAGTATCCACCGCAATTTGAAGATGTTTATGCATGGTTCAGCCAGCACTCTCAGTTTCCAAACTCCCAGGAGTTCTGAAACTATTTATATTGTTCTAAGTCTAGCAAAATAATGGAGAGATAAACAAATTTACAAGTAGCATTTTTTGGGCATAGAAAATAGAGAATGCTTGGAATGGTAGTGTGAGGAAGCTTGTGTGATGACAGGATTCATGCTCTGTCTGTGTTTTATGTATAAACAAAATACCTTGCATGTAGACTGAAAGACTACTTTTTTTGTAGGTACTGAATTATTTAAAAAATTGACAGTGGTAGTAAGTTTTTATTGAATTGTGCATGTTACTGGATTTTGCCTTGGTTTGCAAATAAGTGAGCAATTAATGTTAACAAATATTTTTTCTTTCTTATTGTTAGGCAATTGGAGAATTTATTTTGGTGGAAAGAGATGTGAAAATCAAAAAGAAGGGAAATATCTACAGTCTCAATGAAGGCTATGCTAAATATTTTGATCCTGCCGTCACAGAGTATCTCAAAAAGAAGAAATTCCCTGAGGTGAAAGATCCTGTTTCATAGAAACTCTCTGATGATAAACACCATTAATGATTTCCAGCTCTATGATCAATCACTCATTTTCTCATGAACTGTTCAGAGCTTGTTTTCCTTTCCTATCTATTTAAAATATAACTTGATGTACGATTGCTAATGCGAGCAACCGTTGATATAACCAGATATTTCAGCATTCCCCAATACTGCACTGCACCGCTTTTGCATTTTTTTACTTTCTTCCTTTTTTTCTTTTTTTTAATCTTTTTTCAAATCTTTTTTCCTGAATGAGGATCTGAGTAATGGTGCTGGAGGCAAAACTGGGCATTTGGTAATCAAGTAGAGAGGAAATCTTGTCTGGTGATGAAGAAATTTGATCAACACGTGTTGCATTGCTGCTTCCTCACTGCAACATATGAGTGGCTGGAGAGCAGCGTGGAGATGGCAGTGGGTCATTGCTCACTGGTAACACGAGCTGTGTCCTCGGAGTGCCTCTCTCTTGAAAATCTAGTGTAGTTTCGAGGCCTGCTTTGTGTTTGTGCTACTTCCTGGTGTCAGGAGGCCCAAAGCTCCAAGGAGTGCCCATGAAAGGTTCTCATGCCTTACACATTTCATCACTGAAGTTATTACACTGGCAATGACATGTGAACACCTACTCTTGTCAGGTGTTGGTGTCCCTTCCTGACTTCCTGATCTTGCTTTGAAAAAAGATTGATGTTTTCATCATTTATCTTTCCAGGCTTAAGTTGTTGTTTATGTGATATTAAAATGTAGTCCAGAGAGCAGAATAAGGAAGTATCGTCAGAAGTCAACTATTAACTTTTTCTTAACAAAAAATTGCAGGAGATGGCAAAAATGGTTGGAAGAAGTAGGAAACATCACTTCTTTTGCTCTTTGATTATTTTTCTGCTAGAAAAGACAAGGCCCCAGTATAAATTCCTAGCACTTGAGTTTTTGCTACTGGAAATGCAGTGTTTTCCAAGTGTTAGAGGCAGCAGAGAGTTGGGATACATTTTCTGGTTTTGGTACTACTGCTCATCTATGCTGAAGTCTTCTGTCACTCCTTTTCCTTGGATTTTCCTAGTTAGGAAATGAAGAGGATACTGACATACTCTGCAAAACTACTTTGAGTATTATCAATGAAGCACAATATGGAGATGAAAGATGTTAGGACTGCTAAAGGGGCACGTGGGGGAGGTTGACCTGGTGTGCTGTCCAGTTACTTTTATTGGAATGTTTTTCTGTAGGATGGCAGTTCACCATATGGTGGGAGGTACGTAGGATCTATGGTGGCAGATGTGCATCGCACACTGGTGTATGGAGGAATCTTTCTGTATCCTGCTAACTCCAAAAGTCCCAAAGGAAAGGTAAGCCTGAATAAGCCCAGTTATAGAAAATATTGCATTATGTAGGCATTTCACTATCAAGATCAATATTTTGATTACAGAGCCTGTGGTCTGTAACTTGGTAGCTTGTATTTCTTGTGTGGGGGGATATGGCCATCCCTTGCACGCTGTCACAAGGGACAGCAGCCTTTTGTCAGACACCTGTTCTAGGGCTGCTACTCACTGTTTCAACTGCAGTGACTTCTCTTTGTCTGCAAACATATCCAGCGGAACATACCAGGAATGGGCTGCTCAAACAGGCTCCCCTGCACCATATCAGCTAAAACTGGTGGTTCTGGTCCCAGTTGAGTAGAACATTACAAAGCAAAGAATCCACATTACCCTGAGATTTCTAGCACAAGGTAGTTTGTAAGAAGCCTAAATGTAGTTGACCCACTGGGAGGAGAGAAAACCATCTGCATCTTGTGTATGGTAACAGGACATCACCTGGAGGAACTGTGCCTGGCTGCATCTGCCAGGACAATGGTCAGTCAGGGAAAATCACGCACTTACAGGCTGACAAGGGGACTGTTTATTCAGCAAAGACCTTTGATCTGTTTTGTAATCTCCGTAAAATATTGCCTCAGGTTGCAGATAAGACACAGTTATTCATTAGAGAAACCTAGTGGCAAGCTCAGAGCTCATGTTTTTATTTTCACACAGTTCTATGTGGGTCTGCCTCACTAACAGTTGTGTCTTAACATGCAAGCTTTATCTCTCTGTAGATAGCACAATGTCAACATGGGCTGTGGAGAAAGCACTCAGATTGGGGAAAATCCAGCATTCACTGTGTTTTTGAAAGGAAAATCCACACAATTTCATTGTTGCATCGATGTTTATATGCAATAAAGAGTACTTAGAATATTGATTGTTTAAAATCATATGCCAAATACATTTGCATGTTTTTTGGCATTGCCTGGCCTGACTTCTGCAATTTTGACTTTTTATCTTCTAGCTGAGACTGCTCTACGAATGCAATCCTATGGCTTTTGTTATTGAGAAGGCTGGGGGCATAGCTACAACTGGTCATCAAGCTGTACTAGATATAGTGCCTGAGGATATCCACCAAAGAGTGCCTGTTGTCTTGGGGTCTCCTGATGATGTGAAGGAGTACCTTGAGATAGTCAAGAAACATTCAGCTAAGTAAACAAAGCTTGCTGAATTCACTGTGCACAGGGGATAAAATGTCTTACAGCTGAACCAAAGAATACGCTGCAGTACTGTGAGATTGAGCTGTCTGACTTCTGTACCAAAAGAGCAAATGAGCCTTATTTTCATAAGATTTTTTTAAAGTGAAATCTTGTGCAACTGCATTGTGCAATGAAAGGCATTAAAAGATTGCATAAAAGGAAGCATTAAAAATTAAAGCAATGGAAAAATATGTTTTCTTTTTCATTTATCATTTGTGATTACAGAAGAGCCAGGTGTGCTGCAAGGAAATACTGTGGTGCATTCAATATCTAGGGGAAAGAATCTCACCTTTCTCAGACAAGTTACAGACTATCAGAATACAGCTAACTCTGTCCTCTTTTAAAAGTCCTGGGAAGAAGACTCAGCAGCCTCTTACAGTGAGTGACCTTTCCTAGACCAGTGTCTACACTGCAGCAGTTACTCACTGAACTTCAGTCTGGGGTTACCCTGATGGAGAGTTAATGTCTGTGAAACATGGGCAGTAGTGTATGTTAATTCTGACACATGATGTTAGACTCTATCAGATCCAGTTACACAAGGATGGAAAATGACATGTTAGTGTGGAGGGGTTGTAATGGGATAAAGAGTATGTGTAGACAGCTCGTACATACACAGATTCTTCTGTGATGACTATCTGACTATCTTTGCTAAAAATTAACCTCCTTACTTGATGAAAACATGAACTTTTGTATTGCTAGCAACCTCCACCAGATGTTCTTTGTGTTATTTTGGGAGGTGCAAAGATCCCCCCAAAGCATACTGACATTTAATATGCTCATTCAGAGTATGCTGCTGATGAGAGCATGCTAGTGCTTGGGAGCTAGATGGGCTGTCCAGCTGTGTGGATACAATTTTGGAATCAATTAAAATCAGCAAATCTTTGATATTTCTCGCCGCCCACTTGCCTTCACCAAACTCAAAGTAAGGATCACGTGGGTGTTTCTGTGGGTAAACTGCCACCAAACGTTGTCTCAGTTCATGGTCTGGGAGGTCCTGTCTAGGGCTGCCATGAGCTATAAACCTGCCTGTATCAGTGCAGATAGCCTGACTGAGCATGGTTCTTCTTGTAAAACAAGAGAGAGGTATGGGGAAGCTGAAATCCAGGGTGCAAGGGCATACTCTGTGAGGGCTCAGACAGACAAAAACCTGAGGACCCTTGTTCTGAGAGGTCATGCTGGGGCATTTGGAGTCATACGGGCAAACATTAGACAGTTGTACATATGCATCTGTTCTCCAAACTGACAGGGCAGGATGTTTCTGTCAAGGACTGAATGGCCTAGTTTCTACTGAAAATGCCAATTCTGATGAGGCTTTGCTAGTGGAGACAACTTTCAGGGACCTGAGCCCTTAAAAGACTGTGAGAGTGCTGGCAGTCGTCAGTTTGGACTACAGTGCCTCGGTGGTCTGTTGTCATGACTCAGCAGACAGAAACCACAACAGTGATTTTTGCCTGCTTACCATAATTCCTGTCTGTATTCTGCCCTCAATCTTTACAGGAATCCTGGACTGCATATATCTATTTTTAATACACCCTTCTGACAGCATGTAAAGGTTAAAGGAGGAAAGTTAATACTGACCGTGTTTGCTAGGTCAGTACTCAGTGGTTTGGTTTTGCCTGCGGGCTGACATTTCATACTTAGCATTTTACCCATTGTGAGATGGGTTTACCTTCTAATCAGTAATATGTAAGCCCATATTTGAACAACATCTCTGGCTAGCCACCAGTGGGGAGAACTACTTAGCAATCTCCTTCCATATCCCCCTTTCCAGAGCTCTCCCTGCTTGTCAGTGGAGAGCTGGAAGGTGGATTTGTCACAGCGTCTGCTGTCAGCCCCCACAGCACTTTTACCCACTGGCCTCCTCAGAGGCTGCATTGTGCCCTTTGGTGAAAGGTCACTGGCTCCAGTTTCAGCTGGCGCCATCCAAGCAACTAACATTTCATATCGATTAGAAAAGGTGTCACCTTTAAGGCTCAAGACTGGCCCATGCACCAGTGCAAGTGTGAATAATCCCCAAGATCTCTTTATATTAAAGGGCAAATCTCTCAGATCTGTCAAATGGAGGTGTTTATTTTTTTTGGCCTTCCTATATTATTCCAACCCTTGTACTGAGAAGTTCTCAGGCTTATAGAAAATCATCACACATTTTTTACACAATCTGATTTCTCCCCACCTCCCTAAAATGGTAATTATTTATATAGCCTAATCATTCCGTATAATCATTTGGGTTGTTATGTTTTAGAGGGATCACAGTATTAACAAAACAATAAAGGGTGAAGCTTTCATACAATCCAATCATGTGCCTTTATCCAGTTTTTTTTTTCTCTTTTTGCTGTGCTGTTGAGTGCTATGTTTAGGGAAAAATTGGTTGAAGAGTCTGTGTTTACATAATAGTGTAAGTTAATTTCTTATTTAAGGACCATTATTTTACCAAAAAAAAAAAAAAAAAAGGGGGCAAATAGTGGACTTATCAGCTCGGAAAACACTCTTTGAACCACTAACTCCAAAACAAACTTTCTGTTAGAAGATGATCTGAACTTTGTCTTTTTGACCAGTGTAAAAGATTACTTGGAATCAACAGAATGTCTACATGTGATGTTTTGACCAAAGTTAGAAGTCATAGGCCAACCCCTACCCCATTTCTTATTTACTAATTTGATTTGGTATGCTCATGGTATTCCAGCAACACAGCAGAGAGATTTGGCACTAAAAGCATTTTAGTATGGGTCAGGCTGACGGCTGCCATGATGATGAAATAATGTGCAGAATGTAATGGTTGTACTTTAAGCCAGCACGTATTTTTGCATGTATAACGTGAAACCTTCTTTTGTTGATCCTACCATGTGCTATCCCAAAGCTACACATATTTTATTTTTCATTTTCTACACAGTCTGTTCAAAAGAAGAAAGCTTCCTAACCAGGCAGAACATGCTGTGTAACTTTTGTCTCGTGATGTGAACAGTACATTTAACTATACGTTATAGTAGAAAAGAGAAATCTTCAAGATTTCTTTCTTCTTCAACCATTGCCATAGAGGATTAGTATAAAACCTGCCTGTTGCTCCATCTGAGCAACTTCGCTCACCAGTCCTTTCTCCACCTTGGAACAGGACTGGAAAAATACCTCCAAAGCTAAGCACATGGGATGGAAGCAGCACTGAACTCTGTCTTTCTGCTTGTGGCTACTGTTCAGTGCTGTCGATCTCTAAAACCCTTTCTTGCAGATGATTTCAAAGTAGAAAACCTTAGCATTCAAATCCCTTTAAAAACCCTACAACTAATGTAGATGAAAAGACACTTTAGGAAAATCTGAAGAAATGCTTCAGCTGAAGTTCCTATTAAAAACACATTAGGTATATGTTTTGATACAGAATTTTGTTTCTGTCTTCCTGGCAAGATTTTAGTGCAGTAATTTGTTAAAGGAATAACAGTGAAACTTAATAAAATTTTTCTGCTGTTACTCCAGGTTTTCTTGTTTTGCTGGTGGGCTTTCCATATTTTCTACTTTAAAATAAGAGTGCTGCTACTAAGTAAAATGAAGGCTACAGCATGTGACAGCATATAGTTTCTCTTACTGCCTAGTCAGAGTGGGAAGACAGTGCTGTAATTAAAATCCATAACTCCAGCATTCCGACAGCATGTATCTAATGCAAAATCTAATACATTACTTGGAGAGTTTCTGTCTACCTTCACTTGGCATCATGTGCTCCTAGCATATTGCTTGTAAGAGTTACTGGCAGCATAATTGCAAATTTGGACATACCTATATTTACATGGTGCACTACAATATGAAAGCCAACATAAAATTTCATTTTGTGAGTTATGCTTCAATCAGAAGCATATTGATATGCTTGATATCATTGATATGCTTCAATCAGAGAAGCCTTATTTGTAAATTATTGGAGATATAATTACTTTGTAACTAGTCAAGCCACAGCTAATCAATACTTCTCATTCATTCAAGCACTATAACATTACAAACAACCCAGACCAGGAATGAAATCATTAAAATGGAACTGCAGCAGACCAACTAGCAACATAAAACACTTTAAAAAACGCATGTCTCAATGCCCCCCTTCAAAACCCTCCTTCAGGGTGGAGGCCAAGAGAGAGTGAAAAAACAGGACTTATGGGAAGGGAACTTCACTGTCTGGAGTCACGGTGCTGTGGGACCCTGTGGCACATATGGTTACAAGTGTCTGGTGCTTTCATTTCTGGTGCCTTGTAAACACAGCTCTGGCTATGCTGAACCCATTGCTGAACAGGTTCTACAGGAAAGCCATTTCCAAGAACGCAGGCAGTGAGAGTTTTGCATTATAATCAGTCTGATATACAGTGAGAATATGTAGCTAGATCTGCACAGAGCTAATTTCAGCACAGGGGAGGCCCAGATGAGCAGTAGTTGCTCAGCTGTAGTCCTGTCTCAGGCTCCTTTCCTGCATCCCAGTGGAGCCATGGAGCCAGCCTGGGGTGCAGTTATTCTGAGCACTCAATCACATGGTCTCAGAAACATCTTAATAAATTCTGACCAGCCACACAGCCAAGCACAGCTTCGCCTCAAAATAAAACAGCTGCCCAGGACCTCAATACGGCAAGAGAGCATTTTGTCCAGCTGAGAAGGAGCTCTGGTACCCTGCAAAAATGACGGACAAAAGCCCCTTCGAGACGGATATGCTGACGCTCACGCGGTTTGTCATGGAGAAGGGACGCCGCGTGAAGGGAGCAACGGGGGAGCTGACGCAGCTGCTCAACTCCATGTTGACTGCCATAAAGGCCATTTCTGCTGCTGTCAGAAAGGCAGGCCTTGCCCACATGTGAGTCCTACCTTGCACTACCGGGAGGAAGAGGAGGCAGAGAGACAGCAACTGGCATAGCAAGGCTGGGGAGTGGGCAGAGATTCATAAATACCTTGGAAGTGTCTTCTTTTTTAAACTGAGTAAGGTCAGAGCTTGGATTATCAAGAGTGGGAATCAGGAGAGCTTTCTTTCTGGAGTATTCTAATACTGGGTGCAAGATAGACATTTAAGCTAACTGCTTAATAATATTTTACTCTAAAATAATATTTTACTCTAAATATTTTACTCTAAAAATACAGTAATATTTTACTCTAAAAATATAAGTCAGAACAGAACTTCAATGCACTGCTCACCTTGTTATCTCTTGCACTTGTTGATACTGATCTATTTTTATATCTACTGTGAATTTGTTAAAAATCACACCATTATATTTTTAATGCAGAATATCTCACTGTGATATTTTCTGCTAACATCCAAGCCCTCTGCTGAACTGTACAAGTCAGGGCTTGGCTTATCTTGGGAAGCTGATTTTCTGCCTGTCTGCTGAATAAGCAATGCTCTAAAGCAACAGCCCTGAGAGAAACCCTATGCTCTGCTGTGCCTGGCTGCATTTCTCTTTCCTTCCTCAAGCAGTATCCCACATGGAGGATTACAGGCAGGGAGTCTCAAAAGGCCTTCTAGGAAAACCAAACATAACAATTTGGCATCTAGTGCTTTCACAGATGGAATAAAATATGGCCTTAGCAAAACCTGGAACGTACTGCGCTGTTCCACATGGACAAGTGCAATAGACATCAGTCTAAGTCTTTTAATACTGATCTATCTGAAGGAGTTCAGAGGTATGGAATGCCCTAATAAAACTGTGTGTTTCAAATAGAAAGTTCTTGATATGTATCAAAAGATATTTTTCTGAACATGCCTCACTCAGTATGTTACTTACACCTGCATGCATGAAAGAGACCAGGAATATATTTGTGAAAGGAAGTCAACATTTATTATTTGTTCGGGGATTTGGGATTTTCTTTCTTTCCACAGAAACACCAAAATATGTGACCCTAGGAGTTGGGGGGGATTTTGTGCTTCTGTTGATTATTTGGTCAAAGTCCTAAATCATCTTGGCAAATCATGAATTCAATGTCTCAGAACTATTGCACTCACTTTATAGTGCCTAGAGAGGACATGAGACATACTCAAAGTGAACCACAGTTTCAGTCTCCTATGCCCTTACTCTTAAATTATGCTTTGTCTCTGTCCTTAATAGGTGAAACTGAGCTATTTTACCTCCTTGACTTAAAGGAAGAGTTGACCTTATATAATTTTTATCTTTATGCAGACAATCTTTGAAATAGTTTGTAACAGCAGAGAAACTGATAGGCTAGAGGAGAAATAACCTCTAATAATAATAATAGTAATCCTTCTTCCCCTTCAGAAAAAACCCCAAAGCATCCATTACATTAAGGAGCAAATGTTTCTTTTTATGAACAAAAAGCTTCAGATGTTGTCTCAGAAATATCTGAAGTATCCAAACATACAAATTAGTAATTTCCACCATTCAAATTACTGAAACTAACCATGGAATTTCAGGGATTCCCATGGCAAACTTTCAACCACTGTGAAAGTGGCTTGCATTCATCTGCATTTGTGCATTTAAAGAGCCCTGATTATTCTACTTCCTCCAAATAGGAGACTGTGTCTTCTTTAATGTTAAAGCACTAAGCATGAATTTTTGACAGATTTTAAATTCAAAAGTGAAGGAGAACTTTTTCCAAGTCTGTGATTGTGCCTGAAAACACACTAACTGGAGAGCAGGTACTTACCATTCCCTGAAAATTGTAGTCCTTTTCAAAATCTTAAATTTGGCACCCAAAAATAAAATATCCCAAACACTCAATTCTGCTGAGAAGCACAGGCAGCTTTGAGCTTTGAGAAAGACAAAACACCTACTCCACTCCCAGCTCAGGCCTTCCACTGACCAATATCATTCTATGGACTAATTACTTTCTTCTTTCTCCTCCCCTCTTTCCCACACCCATCCCCACTCCACCACCGCCCCATTCCCCAAAAAAACCCCATTTAATTTCCCTTAATGAATAAAAAAAGCTGTAGCTTTTCCCTGTATGGTTTTCGTATTTTTTAAGAAGCCCAAAACATGCACATTGGGCCTAAACAGTGCTTCTTCAACTGGAAGTCTCAGAAACATATATACTACTATATCATGTTATTAGCATACTGCTAAAATCAGGATAGGGAAAAGAAGTGTCATCCTAACTCAGGTGAGGATCACCAAATAAAACAGACCTTGATCCAGAGATACAGTTCCATCTGGTAAATTCCCCAGGGATGCCTTTAAAGTCCTGATTTGGGGCTGGCAGGGTGAATGTGGGTTAAAGAACCACTATGGAGCTCGGAGCAGCTAGTGACAGAAAATATTGCAGATGCTCACTGCACTTTCTGCTTCCTCAAAACTGCAGCCAGCTGCTTCATGGGGCTGCTGTGGAAGGCTGGTACTTACCACCTGGTCTGTAGGCTCTGCTTCTGGGCTGGGGAGCATCTACACAGGAGCAGGAGGACCCAGCTGAGGCCTCAAAGCACATGCTTTTATTTTCTACAGCAGCAACAGTCTTATAATGCAACTTAGCTGTGTCATCCAAAGATTATCTAAAGGTGTAGGAAGATAAGATGAAGGAACAACCTTGACTTGTTGGAGTGTTTTTTCCTAAAAACCTGCAATGTTGGCCTCCTTCAGGTTTCTTTGGCCTCCAGGTTTCAGGTCATTTTTACTCTTCTGTAGGTTTGGTATAGCTGGCACTGTGAATGTGACGGGTGATGAGGTGAAGAAGCTGGATGTGTTATCCAACTCCCTGGTGATTAACATGCTCCAGTCCTCCTACAGCACCTGTGTCCTGGTCACAGAGGAGAACAAGGAGGCCATCATCACCCCGAAAGACAAGCGGGTCTGTGCAGCTCCGGCATTCGGGGGGTTGTCGGCTCAGGCAGCAGCAGGTGGCACTCTTGTTTCAAGTATGAAACCTGGCCCTGGCCCCCAAACCCAACCCTTCCCGGGGGAATTCAGAAAATTTGCACCGTTTCTGCATTGTTTTGATTAATAACTGTAGTGGGTGGCATGATTTCAACAGCAAAAGAGATGTGGAGAGTAAAATTATTATTAAAGTTTTGTGAAGGGGGGAGAATAATTATTTTTAAGCTTGTTAACACATCCCAAATCTCAGGTGGAAGTGTACTATTACATTCCCTGACCAGTGGTGCGATGGTTTTGGATTACATTAGTATTTAGAAAGATAAAATGAGATGAGAGGCTGGCAGAACTGAGTGTTATGTTACATGTTAAAAGGAAACACCTGACTGCTTCATCAGGCTTCCCCCTGGAGGGGATCCTATTACAGCGAGTTACTGTTCATGCTGATGTAACCTGCCCTTTCCCGAAGATTTTTCTCTTTCTGCCTTCTTGCCCTCAAACCTCACAACACAGCGAAATCCTCTCATTCATGGTAAAAGTAGCAAAAGAAAACATATTCAGTAGACGAAGATGCTTGCTTCCAAAACGCATCACTCCTTTTGCTTTTAAACAATTTCTTGCACTGCTTGGCAGCAGAGGACTGCTCCTCTGTAACATCCATTTGTGCTGTCTGAGCAGAAACATGTCCTCTCCAATTTCTCTGGCAGGCCCTTGGGGAGTCGGTGTTGTGCTGCAGGGCCAGCTGGGTTAACAGTGCAGCCTTCTCTGACGAGCTGTATCAGGCACAATTGGAGGGCTAAATGCAGACATAAAAACACGGGAGTTTTCAAGTAAAAGGAAATAATAATACCAAGCAACTTACCTTTAAATGGTTCCCTTGCCAATTCTGTTTTAGGGTAAATATGTGGTGTGCTTTGACCCCCTTGACGGTTCATCCAATATAGACTGCTTGGCACCAATAGGAACAATATTTGCTATCTACAAAAAGGTAAGAGGAGCAAATCACACGTGGCATGATTTGTTTGGTGAAAGCAAAATGTCTTGCATTCTTCACCTTGCCTAGTTTCTTTCCATGGTCGCTTAGGTGTCTCTGGGCAAAAGGGAGCCTTAGAAAGGGCAGACAAACACTTCATATTCACGTGTGCTAAAATGCTGCCTGAATTCACAGGAAGGGGATACCCAGCCCCATGAAATTGTTAGGTGACAGCACTTCCTTCCTCGGCACACAAAGGCACTTAACTAACGCGATCTCACCCCCAGGGCAGCTGGTTAGCTCCTTCAGCGGTGCTTGACAGCCTTAGGTGCCGAGGAATGGCAGTGTTTGTCCTCCTGGACACCCACTGCGGGCGGCTGGCAGCCCTGGACCGGCCTGTGCGGCCTGCCAGAGCCAGCTGCTGTGCCTGCCATGGATGGGAGTCTGTGGGCATGGAAACGCTGGGGCCTGGAGGGAGCAATCACCCACACTCATCGGGCCCCGGTAGCATGTCTGCTCCCCTATGGCTGCACAGAGCAGCAGCAAACACTGAGAGCTCCAGTCATGCCAAGTCTTGTGATTTGTTTGCTAAGCTCCCAGCAGTTGGTGTTTTTTCCAAAGCCTGAGCTCACGGTCATATGACTGTGGGAGACCCTCAGCCACTTGCTATTGTGAAATAACAGTTTACACTACTTCTGACTTCAAAGAAGTCTTTGCAGACTCAGATGTTACACTTCGACCAAATGAAGATATGTTTTCTAAGTCTCTCACCTTTTAGCTCATAAATTTCAGCTGGTTAGTCCTTGGCTTTTACATTTCTTGTAGGTAATACAATAGTCGTCACTGTTGAGAATATGCATCTACTAGTGAATCAAATAGTTATGGCACAACACCAAAAGGGTTGTGGCACAAGTCCTGGAATTTGGCCGTCCACACTGTTACTGGTTAGTGCAAACCCGCACCACAGATGCCGTGCAGGCCAGACAGCACTGAGATGGTGCCTGGGTATGATTTTTGAAAGAGCATTCCTGGGCCTACCTCCAGTACCATGCAGCTTCTTGCTTTTTGCAGGGAAAAGAGCTTAATGAAATCTATGAAATGTTGTCTAATGTTAAGGGACCTCCACCCTTTTCAGTTATCTCTCCAAAGATACCCTAAATGACAACAGCATCTCCCAATATTTGCAGTAGACAACAGCTGCATTTTCCTTTGAAATTATTAAATAAGAAGTGCTTTATTGATAGTTACTAAAGGGCAGTGTGAAAGAATAAAAGTGAGATGTTTATTCCAGTTGATAAATATCACTTAAGAAAGAGAACATAATGTTAGGCCATTTAAGATTAATGAATATCATTTTTGAAAAGGTAAAACCACTGTGATTCCAAAGGATTAACCTTAGCCTTGAAGATTGAGATGAGCTCTTGACTGATTTTCTCACCATGTCTCACCTTAATTTCATTTCCAAAGGCACACTCTCCAGAGCAGAAATGTTAGGCTTATGTTAGAAAAAAACCAAAACAGATAATAAGCACTCTTATAGAAAGGCCAGACTTGGACAATACATTTCAATCCTGAAAACAGTTGTCTGACTGCTTCTAATCCAGAGCCTCCACCACAGTGGGAGGGACCATTTCATGATGTCACAAAAGCACTCTATCAGTTTCTTAGAAAAACCCATGAGGAAATAAATATCTCAGCTTTATTTAATTTTCCACCTGGCCTTTGCTTTCTGAGACCAGGGTGGTGCAGTTGAAAATCAGAAACACCTGAAAAGTGGGGCTGAGGGAGGAGCCTTGCTGAATCAGAAGAGGATTGGTTAACTGCTGCCACTGAGTGGGGGGCTCTCAGCTGCCAAAGCATCAAGATATAGTGACAATAAGTGCTTTTTGCTTGAGTTCTTCCCAGGTTTTCATGCCACTGAGCTAAATCTACAATCCTTAATTCATACTGCACAAATATGCTATGAAACTCTCTTGCTTTGTTTCATTTTGGTTTTAATTTGTAACTTTGCCCAATGCTTCTAATGTATTTTATTTGCTACCCTTCCTACAATGTCCTCCCCTTCATGTGGTCCCTCACAGAGAAGGTGTAAGAATTCAGTAAAAACACAAAGGCTACTCATGAAACACATGATACAAAATGGAGACCTGGAAATCAAGTCATTTTAGCGCTGCTCTCAGTGCTGATGAGAATTCCCTCATGTGATGTCAGGCAAATCACAAACACAAAAAAATTTAGACTCAGATATCTCCTGAGGGTACCCCTATAGCCAAACTCTGCAGCCTTTGTTTCATCAGCCTCACACCAGTTATGAGTTATAGGGACAGAGTCATTACAACTAATTATTTGCAGTCCATCTGTCTATTTTATTGTTTTGCATAAAGGCCTCTGAAGGTATTTCACTACCACCATCACAGTCAAAATATAATGGACAGGAAATCCATCTGTGCACCAGAAAGAAGAGAAAATAGCAATTATCAGAGTGCACTGCCCAGCTTAATTCCCTGGTTTGTTTAACAGTACATGGCACTTGGCAGAGCAAAATTCTGCAGTCCTAACGTAGAAGTATCAGCTGATCTGTAGCTTTTTCACATTTTGACTCAATCTGCAAATGTTTTCTTTTTTCTTCTTCTTTTTGGAAGCTAGCTCTTGGAAACACAGTTGTGAATAAGGATGAAAGTTAACAAGTTAACTCAGCCCAACTGACTATACCTTGAGGGAGGAGTTTCTCTGCTTTTTTCAGAATGGTCAAATATATAGTTTCTCAGTCATATTAACATAAAAAATGCATTTAAGAAATAGGACTGAAAAGCTCATCTCAGAAAAAATATATTTTAAAACAATATCATATATAACCCAAAGTTGCATGTATTGTATATATACTGTATTCTAGAAAACAAACCACTTTGCTCCATATAAAATTATTTTTTCTTTAATGAGAGGAGCATACAAAAAGCTATGACAACCAAAATATGTTTGAAACTAACTGTCTAAATGAATGTTTAATTCTGCATTTGATGCTGCAAATAATTTGTCTCCTATAGACAACCATTGCTTTTAATGGTGAGATGTATGTACCATAGGGGTATATTTTTGAAAGAGATGAAGCTACCTAGGCCATAATAGTTGGTACTGTAAGGATTGTTTCACAAAGTATTAGCTAATATTAGTCAATTTTCGAAGCTCTGAAATATGCAAACAAAAGTTTAAACTAGTCTTCATTATAACCTCCCAGAATAGGCAGCTTGACATAGTTTTGAGGGACTGAGTCCCTCAGCATGTACAAATATATATACAAATATATATATACATAAATTTGTACATGCTATATTTCAGTTCTTCTCATGAAAAGCTGGTTGTCAACTGGATTTTTTATTTCCACAGAAGGACTTGGCAAAATAGTATTAAAAGGATTTGAGCAAAATACAGTTAAAGACTGTAAGTGAAGTGACTTTAGTAACGAAGTCTTTCAGCTGAAAATGAAAACTTTTTGATGTGAAATTACTATCTTTGTGTACCAAGAAGGTGTTGTTTTAGTGTCCCACGTCTCAGCTTTCTTTGAGGTGTTGGCATACAACGATGAATGGGAACACCTTACTAGGATCCTAATGGGCAAATATTTTATTTTCTACACAAGACAGTCATCATGGATTTTAATTTCTTTTAATCAAATGTTCAGGGCTAGACTTGCTGTTTCTATTTAGTTGCTACTCAATCTAAATAAGCCTGTGCAATCACTGAGAAACTGTCTGAGTTGGGAACAAGAAAGTACTAAGCCATGGTCTGAAGAAAGGGGAGTGTTTAATTTCAATTCCCCATTGGCTACCACCAAAACATCCATATGAGACCCACCACAAATGATGAATTTCTAAATAAATATTAATATCAAGCAATCCTGACCCATTCTGTAGCAGCAGGAGATGAAGGCTCTAACCAGCCTTCCCAAGTACTGTTGGCTGTCCTCCTTACCCAACCCACCAGACAAACTCTTGTAAGCCATGGCTGAGGCACAGCCCTAGAGCTGGCTTGCAATATTTGCACCTTGTCTGCTTGGGCTACTGTTGCTCCATGATAACCAAAGTGCCAGATCAAAATATGATTGTCAGAAATTGGTTAAAAGCTTGAAGTAAAATGCCACCTGAATGTTCTGTGTAGACTTATAGATGAGTATCTGCACACATGCACACTTTACATAGCCAAATGCATTTGTTATTTTGTATATAATATGATGAGCATTTGTGTACAATAGATGAACATTTATATTCCTTCAGTTAAGCATCCTTTCACTTGAAGAGACCAATGCAAAAACTTGGTTACATCATGTTGCACCATATACCCTTTTATTCTGTACTATGGGAGCATTTTTTGTAATGTTAATTACAACATTTATCAGTTATTCCCTCTGAGGGGTGTCAGCATCATAGCTTATGTTACATTTACAGAAGATTAGTATCTCTGCTCTGTCTCAGTTTTCTGATGATCCTCAATTAATAGCTTGGGATATAATGCTAAGGGATCAGCTTTGTGGCATGTATCATATTGATTGCATGACATGTATAAAATAACAAACTCTCAACATCCTGTCTCAGCATGTACATGTACCTATACCAAGCCTGCCCTGAACAAGGGGTGGGGGGAGTAACAATCTCTGGTTTTGTTGTTTCAAAGGCCTGCATAGACAGAAAAAGAAAATCTGTCATACATTATTATTGAAAAGTTGTTTCTATTGTTCATTATCAGAATTTAACCTTTGGTTCAAATGGTAATTTTTCCTCAGGAAACAGATGATGAGCCCTCTGAAAAAGATGCTTTACAGCCTGGACGCAATATTGTTGCTGCAGGCTATGCCCTGTATGGTAGTGCTACGCTGGTTGCACTCTCCACAGGGCAAGGAGTGGACTGCTTCATGCTCGATCCGGTACAGTCATGGTGTTAATCACATTGCCACTGTCTTTTAGAGCTCTCTGTGCTTGGTTTTACTTGTTTTTGTTAATCCTTGTCTCTGTAATCTATCCACTTTATGCAATTCTTTTCTCCATATTCTAGATCATCCCACCTTTATAAATATTTAATAAGATATGAGCATGTTGGTTGCAATACCTGCTTGTTTTTTTCCTACTCAATAGAAGTGAAATTAACTTAAATTCTCAATTGAGTGTCTGAAACCCTTTTCATTCAAACCAACACTTAAGAAAATTTAATTTGTACTGTGTCTTTGTCTTCACTTAAAGGAATCTGTGTTTATTTTCATATTGATTTTTCTGTCTGAATAAGAACATCAACATGTTCATTGTTTAGCCTGAGGCAAGGACCATTTTTTTGATAGCTTGAGCCAAGTGATGTTTCATTTCCTGAGTGCAGTAGAGTTTTATGGCTGTCACCTAAGGTGCGTGCCCAAAAATTTGCAAAAGGACAACAACACCTGTATAATTGAACATGTGCCACTCTTGAGTGCCCAGGAACACGATGAGTGTTACTGTGGGAATGCTAGAAAGATCATTCATTTGTAAAACCAGAATTAGATGAGGGGAATAACATACTGTGGTCTTTCATGGTTTTGTGGGGTTGTTTTTAATAAAAGGATGAATTAGTACTAGAACTTCTTGTAATGTTTGTAAATAGTCTCATTCCAAGTGGAAAGAACTGGGAGATGAAACGCTCTGCTTGAGACAGAGCAAGAGAAGGTGGAAGTTGAAAACTGCAGAGAGCAGCACATGGGTGTAACTGACCACATTCACATTAGGTTATTTGGACAAGACAGGCAAAAAGAGTCCAGAAGTCAGAAGGCAGTGCCATTTCTTAATGTGCAGTCTTATCATTTGAGGACAAGATTCATGATCCATCTGCTTTCAGGGCTGATTTGTGTTCTTTTGATAGTCTATTCCAATTAGGTTTTGTTTATAGTACTGATGTGACAAGTTTTCATTAAGTTAGTGTAAATTCTCTGCCTTCTGCTCTTTTTGAAATATTGTGAGTTTATACACTAGACCAGTACTGAAAGGATCAAACTGTGCTAATATTTCTGCCATGTCTAGTGTGACAACTGTTACAGAAAGCCAACAAAATTGTCTGCTAATACCTCATTTATCCTGTCCTGCAGGGTCTTGGTGAATTTATTTTGGTGGACAGAGATGTTAAAATCAAGAAGAAGGGGAAGGTATACAGTCTCAATGAAGGTTATGCAAAGTATTTTGATCCTGCAATGACAGAATATTTACAAAAGAAGAAATTCCCTGAGGTAAGAAAATATTAGCACTGTACCCAGTGTACCGTGCACTGGCAAGCACTGCATTCCATGCAGTCCTGGCTGATGGAAAAGGATTTGAAGGTCTTCCTGAGTTCAGACCCATGTAACCCTTTCGTACCAGCTGGTCCATTTTGGATATGCATGTAATGGGACCTTTTTTTTGGCATCCTGACATCTTTTGTAACTTAGACTTTTGTAAATAAAGTCATAACTTGTTTGTGTGATGGGAAATGTGCTGGAGAACTAGATCTTTCAACAAAACTCCAGAAATGTGCCTGCCAAATTTGGGGATACTCTCATTTTCTAGCTTTATCTGAATATGCAGTTCAGTAATGTGTGCAGTTGGGCGTTCAGGGCTAGATTCCATGTGCTGTCCAGAAGGTGTTTGCAGGAATCTGGGTGGCATCACCTTCTCATTCCTGCACCCTCTTGCATCTGAAAAATGCGGTATCATTCTTGCACAGTCTACTTGCATCATATTGAGCATGAACAACCTATAGGCTGGGGAGAAAACTAAACTAATGGTGTGAGGCACAAGTTAACCATATTTGGTGGTTAAAGAGAGACATCCCATGTCTGATGAAATTTCTTGGAGAAAGACATCCCATGTCTGATGAACTTCCTTGGACAAATACAGTTTGGTATTAACTTATCAATGCTAGGAGGACAACACAAGCTCTCAATATGGAAAACTGGAAGTTCTCTAAGAAGTGTGGCTGTGAAAAGTAATTCAAAATGAAATATGGTCATGTAGATCAACTCAGGACTTAATTTGGTTAGGAAGCTGTTTTTAAAACTCTTCCTATTAAAAAAAAAGTCAGATTATTTTTAAGCTATTAGTTGTCAAGGATACTTGTAATGTGGTCTGTGTTAAATAAATGGATTCAGTAAAAACCTCAGGGTGCAGTAAAAGGGAAATATAATAAGAAAGCATTTAAACTGTGGTCCCATGATAAGCTCCTCCTTCTGAGCTAAAAAAGTCTGGATTTAGCATATCAGCTATAGCTGCAAGACTACTAAGTATCAAACCCTCCTTTGCATACTACTCAGATTGTAGCTACAGAGAGTCTAACATTACAGCCTTCTAAATAAATTAACTTTGAATATTTGCGATTATTTTGAGACTTCAAATTCTGCATTCAGTTCAGCTGTGAGAGAAGCAGAAGCCCATGACACAACTTTCATTCTTCCCTAAATCCAGCTGGGAAAGTGAAGAACATCTGTGCTTCTCATTCTGCTGACGTTATACCAGGCTATGTATTCAGTATCATGCACTAAGACTGGAGTTATTGTGTTTTTGCAAACCACCAAAATGTTGTTTAAAGTAAAATTCTTAAACAAATGCATCAACTCCAGGAAATGAGGAAAAGACTGAAGAGATTTCAAAATCTGTGGAAAGACCAGACAGAGGTATTTCCCCACAGGATCAATGAGGACAGCTCTATCGTGTGACTTCCTAAATCCTAAAGTTAGGACATACTGGAAAAAACTCATTTGCAAACACTGTTTTATCTCAAATCTGTGCAAGCCTATTGAAATTGTTTTTCTAATGCAAGAGAAGCTTGCAGATATTTTTGTTATTTTAAAGCAAGCACCACAGAAGCGCGTGGGTTATTTGGGGCACAGGAAATCTTCTCAGCTGTGCTGAACAATCACATTTTTTGCTGCTCTGAGATGTACAGTTGCCAGCATGAGAAGGGCTGAGGCACAAATGTTATAGCCACAAAGCACAAGGAAGTGGCCTGCCCATCTGAAGCTTGTGATGAACCTGAGTTTTGGAACCAGCACAACTCAGTTCCTTGATTTGGAAAGGACATAATAGTTGCATTGTGGGGAGGACTAGAGAGGTTTTGCCATTTCTCTGTAGCATGAAATGTGCTTCCTGGCCTCATCTGTAAGGCTACCCAGCTGCAGCCACATTGGTGATGTCCCTACCTTCCCTACAGGAGCCAGGTGGAGATTTTCACAGTTTCAGTCTCTGTCGCCCTCTCTGCACATGCAGAAGGGTAGTGAGGGTGTCTGCTGAATATCCCCTGCCTGTGCCTTGAGGAGGAGCTGACATGAGCATGGAGGAACATGCCTTGTTCAGGCAGATCATTCACCCTATACTCTTCAGGCATCACTTTTAGCTATCTGTCACTTTTTTGCATTTTTCTTCCTTAGATCTTACCTCTATTAACTCCTTTCTGTGGTTCTTGGTCAACATGCTGTTCAGATGACTCTCTGACTTTGCCATGAAAAACTGAAAAGTTAAAAATATAGCAGGGAATCAAAAGTACAGTGTGATCCATAAGATATCCTATGTTATATATCATTGTCATTAGCAACAAAACACTAAAAAACAATCATCTATGAGTAGAAGAAAGATTGCCCCTTACTATCTAACAGCAGTGTCCCACATCAGACAGTTTAGACTACAAAATTGCATTGACCCTCAAATTTTCTTGTGGATCACCATTTACCTAAGGCATCAATTCTGAACAAAAAGCACTAGAAAAATGCTGATGTTTCCGCAGGCCAGACTAAGCCTCCTACTACTATCATGTAGTGGGAAACACACATCTAACCACATCTCTTCTGGTACGAGAGTGAAGCTGATTTTTTATTTAGCATGACAAAATCACACTGCTGCTTAACCAGTTTGAAGAGCAAGCTTCTGTTTGCAAAATTGCCTGTAATGCAACATGTTCACTCCAGTTTGCAATGCTTAGTGGGCACTGCTGGGCCAGAAACCGTCTCTGCACAAATTCTACTACAACACTTCCCTAAAATGGGTTCTTCCTCCCCCTAGCTTTTCTCTGGCACTGGTAGAATTTGAAATACCCTGTGGACATTGTCACACTTTGCTATGACACCTACTTTTGTCTTTGCTTCCTACAGTCAGGCACAAGAGAAGTTGAGTCTCACCACAGCTTGCTGATGATGAGAGCTATGCAACTGAGACTCCCTCGTTAAGAATTTGTCTCAGCAGTGCCATTAAAAATGGCCTCAACAACACATTTCAGTATGAAGCCCAGCTGTGTCCAAGTGATACTAGTAAAAACTAGTAAAAACTACTATTCTTTTGTCACCACATCTGTACGTGGAGTAAGGGATGCAGGGTGTTGCTGTTGTAGTCTGTAGAAAAAATTTCTTGCTCCCCCCCCCGGTCATCATATTTATATAAGGAAAACCTTGTTTTCCTTGTCTTGTTCTGCTGTGGAAGAGCAGGACTGTCAGAAAACAGTAGAAGAAAGAAATGAAAAATTGACTTCTATCAGAATGTGAAGGAAAAAAAATCACAGGACCTATGTGTTATGTATCATTTTTGTTCCTTTGAGTCAAGCAAAAAAAGTAAAAGCAGCAGAAGGGGTAAAACAAAGAGTAGACACAAGTTTACTCAACATGGATGCTGACCAAGGGAACATGAAGGATCTCCAGCTCTTTCATTGGCATCAACTAAGCAATCAGAAGTGCTTATTGAGCAAACACAGAGCTTGGCATTACTGAGGACTTGGGATGAACCTGTCTAGCATTCATGCTCTATTATTTTGTTTGAGAAGAACGCCTGGGCAATATGCCAATACACATGCAACACCTATTAACTTTCTTATCTGTAAAAAAATGCATGAGCAACAAAACTGGAGAAACAAGAAATAACATTTCACTAACTAAAATGAGTATTTAATCTTCTATGCAGACAGCTGTATGCTAAGGGAAGTAAAAATTTTATTTCAGTATGTGGTTCAAGTGATAACCTTCTCAGAAGGGAGCAATTTATCTGTATTTTTCTCAGCACAGTCTCAGCACTGTGTCTCTAGCTGGTGAATATCTATCTGGGTAAGAAGCAACTAAAATTGTCAGTGGCATCTCATGCTTAGAGCTTAGAGTATCCTGAGTTGGAAGGGAACCCACAAAGCATCCTTTGCATAACACAGTCCATGTACATATGAATTATGTAAATAATCTGCATGTGAATAGGAAATCTAGCACATTCCAAACCCGTCAGATGATGTGTACACAGGTGGCTCAGCTGTGCAGCTCATGGTCACTAAATTTCATACCTGTGGTTTACAGAGTCCTTATTAATATCATAGAAGCAATCCTTAGCAGTCTGGTTCAGGGGCTGCTTGTTAATATGTTATGGCTTTTCTTGGTGCTTAACAAACTTTTATTTAGACTCAGTTCATTACCTTTTAAAACCACAAAAGAAAGTTCTTCTTTTGATTGTATTTTTAAAGGTAATTTGAGATTATAATCATATCTTTCAGATTTTACCTGAAAACTCACATTTGTCTCTCTTTAATACCTCTTAAGGTGCTTGGTTTTTCCTGATGTCAGGTTTTTACAATTGTGAAGTCACAAGTACAATCAGCTGTGAGATGGAGAAGTCATCATTTGAAGCCTAAATATGCAATTATTTGAGCATAAACCATGAAAAACAAGGGAGCAAATACTTAAAAGCTTTGTTCATTTATGCCTACAATTAATAGGACCAGATTTAAACAAAACTAAATGTAATAGCTCTAGGCTGTGCTTTATCCATCTTTCATAGTTTGCATTATTTACTTCTGAATTTTTCATTGTTCTTCTTACATGTGCAATGTGAATCATAAAAACCAACATATGTACAGTTGAACAAGGCCTGGAATAGGTCTGTTTTCTAATTTTATTATCAGCTATATCAAAAATCAAAATCTTATGTTTAGCAGCATAGAGCTTAACTTCCTAGTGTTCTGTTGCTTTATAATATGTAATTTAATGAGATTTTTTTCCATTTTAATAGAGGGTAATTATTAATACTTCACAGTCACATTGAACAATTCAAAAAAATTATTCAATATAGAATTATGTTTTTCTCTATTTTCCTTCCAGTTGTGGAATTTTTTCCCCAGCCAACATTTTGCAGGGAAATATGAATAGCTTGTGGTGTCTGAAGGTGCTGGAACTGGCATTGCTGAACAAGTTTTCTATGTATTTTTCTAGATGTAATATCAGTACAGGATGAGCTCTGTAGAAAGTGCTGAGATCTTTTATTAGAAAACCGACCCAGACAGGAAAAAATACCCACTGAGATCTTTTCAGACTTTTAGCATTGTAATACAAAACATATATGTCTATTAAATATTCATGAAGTTCAGTCTCTAGTAATGTTCTGGGAAGATAAAAATTACTCCTCAGCTTTATTGAAGACAGACTGAGAGACATGAAAAGACCAGCAAAATTATTTTCTTAAAAAGTTTTCCTTTAGTTTACATCTGTATTTTGTATCTCCCCTTCATAAAGGTATAGTGACATGTTAAATTTCTTCAGTGGAGCTTATTTGGTCGACTGTACATATTTCTATCTGTTCAAGACACCTTGCTTGTCTTCTATATCTTCTACCTACCCATTTTTATGACCAGCAGACCTGAGACTGACATGAATGCTTCCTTGATTGCTCTTGTTAAAATGGCCTGTCCTTCAATGACATCAATTTCTAAGCTGAAAGCAAGGAAAATTACATTCATTAATAAATTGCGATCTCCCAAACTAAGCTGCAGAATGAATGCTATGACCAATTTCTCTACCTGACAAATAAGCTGGAAGGTAAAAGTTGGAGTCCTCTTGGAACCATCTGGACATGTAGAGGAGTGACACCACTCCTCATGCTCTGGCTTAGGAACCAGTGAAAGATCAAAAACCACATTATTTTGACCTTGTTCTGATAAGGTGAAGAAGCTTTCAGTCCCTTGTTTTTTCACAGGTTGGAGTTTGATCCCAAATTGTACACCCAAATTACAGGCACTCTGGTTTGCTTACCAGACTGAATGCAGCTCTTTAAGACTCTTATCTTTGAACCCTGTAGACAATCACATCTTACAAAAGGCTGAGCTCAGGACTGATTTCGGTATTTTGCAGTACCAAATTATAATTGCAGTGTCCATAAGCAGCCATTGATTTAAGCAGCTGTGCTTCCTGCTTCATACCAAAATTACATTTTGCCACGTTACTAGTTTTCTAACCTGGTAAATATAGTGCTTTGCTCTATGTTTTTCAGGATGGCAGTTCCCCATACGGTGCCAGGTATGTGGGCTCCATGGTAGCTGATGTTCACCGTACATTGATGTACGGTGGGATCTTCATGTATCCTGCTAATCAGAAGAGTCCTAAAGGAAAGGTATGTCATTTGAATTCCTTTCTGGGGAGCTTAGCCAACCTAATATCTCTGGTATTACCAGAGCAATAGTTTAGATAAATAAACATATAATAATGTTCTACTGTGGAAAAAATTATTAATGAAAATTACGCTCAGCAATAGAGTTTAGGAAAGAAATTTAGGCAGTTGCCAATTTAGGCCAGAAATCTTCCTCTGTGTTTTCATATTATTAAATACTCAAGTGGTTTTCACAGCAACCAAGGATTTAGGATTTTTAGGATTTTTAGGACTTACGACCAAGGATTTTTCTAAAGGTGGTATTTCAGCGCCATAGAAACCCATTGAGACTACCTGTGCATGGCTGGCAGATACAACATGGATCTAAGGAAAACCTCTGCACTTTAAACTGGCAGCTAGAGTTATCACACCTGCTGGTGGGACAAGCCGAGCCCTAGAAAGGGTTTTGTCCAATGCTAGAAAAAAGGTTTTCCTACCTTGTGTTTCCAAAGGACACTTATATCACCAGCTCTGTAAACTCAGGGTTCTACTACCTGGTCAGAAAAGGTGATTACAGTGGAAGGTGGGTTTCATTCAGTATTTTAGGAAAATATGACTTCCTATTTGGACACCAGTACAAAATGCACTGTGACAATGCAGTGCAATGCAATGCAGTCAGTCTTTAAAGAGATGGGCCATGAACCATTGTCAGCCTCAACTTCTCTTCTGCAGTATCAAATACCCTTATTATCAACTTTCTAAACAAGTATTTTTTAAGAGACCTAGTCATACAGATGATCTGTAGACCAGCAGTAACCTCCAGGTCATCCTTAGGAAATCAATAGCTTAGTACATAATAGGTTGGACATGGTGTTCTGACTCCAAGAATACATTCTTTCCTGATCTACGCCATACTTAAAACCTTCTATTCAAATGTTTTTGCATCCATGGCTGGTACATGAAGGAATCTGCCTCATCTCCCACACTGGTCTCAGAATATCCCAATATCTACCGTCTTTAGGGAGAGAGAACTACTGGTATCATCATGGTGATGATACAAAAACACCACTACAAAAACCCTCACTAAATGATGTGGATCTGTTTGTACATAAGATAAAGGGACAAAAAAGGAATTTGCTGTATGTGAAAAAAATGGGTTTGCTGACTGGCCTCTTCAAATGAAACTTTTTGTTTTTAAATCTGTACTAAACCATTGTTGAATAGAGAGAATGAAAAACAGGACAAAAGTACAAAGGAACAAAGCACTTACATAACTTTATAGTTTCCACAGAGTTAACCCACATTTATTATTGGATTGCTCTGGCTTGAACTGCCACAGTAAAGAGAGTAATGGAAGAAGCAAAACATGCTGCCATTAAAAATAAGTTTTCTTTCTGTCTAAGTGTGCAGGTGTATATAGTTCTTTTCATATGTATCTTTTCTTATTGGAGAAATAATACTCTTGTGGCAAGTGCCCTGATCATCTTTCTCCTGAAAGACAGTCTATGTACTTAGTTAAAGAGCTGAAAATAATAAATGTCATGGGAATTATCAAAAGGACTTGATCAAAAGTCTTTAGAGTAAACGCAAATTACATGGATGTAGGCCCTAAAATTTACAGATCCTTTTTTAAGTTAAAGAAAGAAAACTAAATGCTATTTTGTTATAAACAATACACAATAAACACTACAGGACAAGACAACAAATAAATCTCCTTTTCAAATGGTATATTTTTAATAATATTTTTTATAAACTTAAGGCTTATAGTTCTCTAGTAGGTGAAAATGTTAAACCTATCTGAAGACAGAGCCCATCTGAAGATCCCTAAGTGCAGTTGTACTGCTACCTGATGAAAAACTGCTTTCCTCGAGTTGCATAGTCACAGTAGCAACAAGACACTTGAAATGTGGTTCCATGTATGATACCACTGCTCTTTGCTGGCTCATGACCTTCCAGAATTGGGCCAAGCAGTAGGAAGAAGAGTGAAAGATACTGGTCCTATGTTGCCTCAGAGATGGAGTCCTTGTACCAGAAGTAGCACTTCAGTGGGCTTTAAAGATAAGAAAGAAGGTAATAAAGTGCCATTTAAGTTGTGGCATATCATGGTTTTATTGCAGTGTGCTAAAGGCATGATGGGTAGTGAATTCTTGTGCTCAACCCATTTCTCGTCTCTCTATACAGTAGCATTCTGTCACACTTCCTTTTTCCCAGAAAATTTTTCTTCTTTTGAACATGTCAAGAGTCCTTTAAACAAAACATGTGCTAATATTGTTGTACATGAGCACTTCATGGATAAACATACAGAAATAATATTTGTTCAGAACTGACCAGCTATTACTCCTGTTCATTTAAACACAGAAACTTTTGGCATATGTCCTAAATAAATTTGCATTCCACACACTCACCCCAAGAGGTAACATTTTAAAAAAGTGTCAACAGATACCAGGGTCCAAACTGAAAGGGAAATTTTGCCTTTAATAAATAACTGCAGCTCCTTCTGAAGCCACAATCTGGATAAGTTCAGGCCACTAATATCTATCTACATTTCTGAAGAGAAGCAATAAAATCCTGAAATTTGAAACTGGGAGCATCAAGTTTCAAACTCCAAAATATCCTGACTAAGCATAACATGATTATCCCAAGCTCTGAGTTAACATGTAAAGACTCCATATGAGAAGATATTTTGGCTTTTCTTTCCCAGTACTGTTAGCTTAGCCAGCTTAACTGTTTTGCTGATGCCTGTGGGACACCCACTTTTGACATTTTTGACAAAATACAGCTTCACTGGTGCTGCACGTCTGTATGTCAGCTTGGAAATTATATGGTGATGCCTGGAAGTAAGGTTGGCACACTGTTCCTCCAAGCAGAAGGCTTTAGGAAAGGTGAGGAGAGGGAAAGAAGGGCTCTCTGAAAGACATTGCTACTTAGGTCAGTTGAAGCTTGGTACAAAATTTTCTAAAATCACAAAAAGAATGCTAAATTTTGGCAAGTCCTTTGATATAATTTCCTCCATAGGCAATCAGGTGTTTCCTCTCTCTTTCTAGCTCCGACTTCTCTATGAATGCAACCCTATGGCTTTCATCATCGAGCAGGCAGGTGGCATAGCAACTACAGGGACCGAAGCAGTGTTGGATGTGAAACCTGAGAATATTCACCAGAGAGTTCCTTTTATCCTTGGCTCTCCAGACGATGTGCAAGAATACCTTGCTTGTGTACAGAAACACCAGAAGAGCAGCTAAAGACATCAGATCTTGCTTGCCCATTTTCAGTCTTCAGGAAAAGCTTTACCTTTCAAAATAGTGGATTCTAGCATTTTCCACCAATCTCTCAGTGAAAGTCCCAGTTTACAAGAGCAGGAAAAATAGTGAGATTTTGTTTCTCCTTGCAGGCAAGTGTAAAAATCCTTTAATTCTGATTTATTCAGGGCAAGTGCAGAGACAGAGTCATGACAAACAGAAACTACTTACTTTATATAATATTAACAAAAGGAAGTGAGTTCTGTCAGTATCCCCATTTGATCTGAAATTTTACATCTAACATTACATGGATGGCATTGTTTGCAACGGGATTTCTGCATCAATATTTGCAATGTCATTATCTGGATTTTCTGTCAGAGACTTTCTTGCAGATGCTTTTTATCTTGACAGCCCTAAGAAGAGCAAAAGTCTTATGCTGTCTGAAACAATATTTTTAAGCTGAAAATTATATAAATTTGGGGTAATTAATAGAGATGAAAAGGCTGCAGCATTGCCAGGATATTTAATTTCTCACAAGAACAGGAAATAGAATGTGTTATTTATACACACCTTTCAAAGCACAAATTATAATAAACCATGAATGTGACACCCAAATCATGCCTATTCTGTTGATCCATTGTCCTCTGGAAGAGGATACAAAGACACTGTTATACCTCAATTTTCTCGTACTTTGAAAGGTTCTTATTTCAGATTGAAGCTTGCCCCTTTACACGTTATATTGCCATCACTAGTCACAGTGTTGTCCTGTCCTTAAGTGGGAGGAAACTCCCAAGTTTTGTAGATGCTTGTGGTCAAAGAGAGCAGCAAAAGTCAGATGGTCTGCAGAAGCTTACAAAAGTTTATTAGTAAATTCCACACTTGGCATGAGAATTGATAGAAGTTAGTCCCTGATCTCCTAGAACACGTACAGAGCAGCGGGGTTTGGATAAAGAGGTAGGGCAAAAGGGGAGAGAGCAGGAGGCAGGGGGGGAGAGAGAGACACACAGAGAGAGAGAGGTGATTTAAAGAGGAGTGGGGAGGCAAGAGAGACACAGAGTCCTATTTCCAGCATGGCTCCAGCCGATGGGAAGTCCAGGGACAGGTGGTGCATATGTGCCTTTGTGGGCTTTGTGAGGATACCTTTTTTTCCCCTGCCATGAATACAATTTTCTCATTTTCTATACAAATTAGTCATCATGCACAGTCAGTTCTTTCAGACCTTTCTGTAAATGGATCAGAGAGCTTCAGGTGTCTTGGGTGGTCTTGATCCCTCGCTATAGTCCATGCATGCCCCCTTCTCAGTCCCATTCTGGTGCTTGCACTCTGTTGTCCTTATCTCCAAGAGTTACAGCAAGGATGTTTGTCCTGGAAAGGTACTGCCCTAATTCTGTATGGCCACCTTCTCCAGCCACACCCTGTTCTTTCTCACAGTGTGTGTTACCAACAATCACTGGTTGTTATTACCAACAATCCTTGGTTGGCTCCACAACTATCTGGGTATTGCTGTTTGAGACATACACATTGGCCTGTTGTCCTAGGGAGGGAATCAGGATCCTGCATGACCTTCCTGAGAGTCACCTTGGACCTCTTCAAAGACCTACTTAGAAGAACCACATGGGATAAGGCTCTAGAAGATAAGGAGGTCCAAGAGAGAGGGTCAATATTCAAGTATCACTTCCTCCAAGCTCAAGATCAGTGTAGCCCTATGAGCAGGAAATCAGGCAAAAGGGACAGTAGATTGGCATGGATGAGCACAGAGTTTCTAGAAAGAAATTTCTGGGATGTGAAAAAAGAGCCAGGCCCTGTGGGAGGACTATAGGAACATCATCAGAGCATACAGGGATGAGATGACGAAGACCAAGGCCCCCTTGGCATTGAATCTGGTAAGGGCAACTGAAAGGGCTTCTACAAGTACATCAGCAGCAAAAGGAAGATTGGGAAAATGTGGGGCCACTGCTGAATCGGATGGGTGTCCTGGTGATGGAAAACACAGAGAAGGCAGAATTACTGAATGCCTTCTTTGTCTCAGTTTTTACTGGCGAGGCCAGCCCTGAGGAGTCCCAGACTTCAGAGTCAAGAGAGGAAGGCTGGAGAAAGGAAGACTTCACCCTGATCACAGAGGGCTGGGTTAGAGATCAGCTAGAGAGACTTAACACCCATAAATCCATGGGCTCTGATGGGATGCACCCATGGGAGCCCAGGGAGCTGGCAGATGTTGATAAGCCAACCTCCATTACCTGTGCAAAAGCATGGAGAGCAGAAGAGGTGCCCAATGACTGGAGCAAAGTCAACATTACTGCCATCTCCAAAAGAACAAGAAGGAGGACCTGGGAAGGTACATCCTGTCAGCCTCACCTCCATACCTGAAAAGGGAATGGAACAGCCCATTCTGGAGGTCATGCCAGGCAGGTAGAGGACAATAAGGTCATTGGGAGTAGTCACCATAGATTCACCAAGGGGAACTCATGCTTTACCAATCTGATAAACTTCTGCGGTGGCATGGCAGGATGGGTCAGTGAGGGGAGAGCAGTGATGTTGTCTGCCTTGACTTCAGCAAGGCTTTTGGCACTGCTTCCCATAACATCCTGGCAGGTAAGCTCAGGAAATGTGGGTTAGAGGAATGGATGAGGTGATGTGGTGAGGTGGATGGAGAACTGGCTGAAGGGCAGAGGTCAGTGGGTCATGACCAGCAGAACAGAATCCACCTGGACACCAACAGCCAGTGACATTCTCAGGGATCAATACTGGAACCAGTCTTGTTCAACTTGTTTATCAATGACCCCGATGAAGGGATAGAATGTAGCCTCAGCAAGTTTGCTGGTGGCACTAAACTGAGGGAGTGGTGATCCACCTGAAGGCTCTGCTGCCATTCTGTGGGACCTTGCTAGGCTGGAGAGCTGGGCAGAGAGAAACTTAATGAGCTCCACAAGGGCAGGTGTTGGGTCCTGCACCTGGGCAGGAACAGCCCCAAGTGCCAGCACAGGCCAGGGGTTGTCCCTACAGAGCAGCTCTGTGGAGAAGGACCTGGGACTCCTGGTGGATCACAAGCCACCCATGAGCTGACAGTGCCCCTATGGCCAGGAGGGTATATACCCCCAGGTATCCTGGGGTGCATCAGAAAGAGCACGGCCAGAAGGTCGAGGGAGTTGTGCCTCTACTCAGCCCTGGTGAGGATGGATCTGGAGTGCTGTGTCCAGTTCTGGGCTCCTCAGTAAAAGGGAGACAAGGAGCTACTGGAGAGGTCCAGCAGAGGGTCACAAAGATAATTTGGTGTCTGGAGCATCTGTCTTATGAGGAGAGACTGCAGGAACTGAGCCTGTTTAGTCTGGAGAAGAAAACACTGAGAGGGGATCTCATAAACATATAAGTATCTTAAAGATGGGTGCCAAGAGGATGGTGCCAGACTTTTTTCAGTGCTGCCCAGTGACTGGACAAGGACCAATGGCCATAAACTAAAACACAGGAAATTCCACCTCAGCATGAGGAGGAATTTCTTTACACTGAGGGTGGCAGAGCACTGGACCAGGTTGTCCTGGAGTCCTCCTCTGTGAAGACATTAAAAATCCATTTGAACAGGTTCCTGTGTAACTTGCTGTAGCTGACTGTGCCTTGGACAGGGGGTTTGACTGAATGATCTCCAGGGGTCCCTTCCTACCCTAATGATTCTGACACTTCTAGGCTTCTATAGCCATCCATGCTCTAGGTTTTCTGGTGCTAGATCTCTTGACACTGCCTAAAGAGATCAGAAATCCACTGTGAAACTAGCAGTCATTGACCAATGACAGCAAAAATTATCAATTAAAAGAAATGTGTGATTACATTAAATGATAAGGATGTGAAAACTGGGTTTTAGGTCACTTTAAGTATTAGACCCTTCTATCTAACCCCCTTTATAACTCTCCTGTCTCATTATATGAACTTTTTTACTCCTTGATGTAAACAACTCCTGCACCCTCTTCTCGTTTTCACCCCTGATCCACACCCTCCCACTGTGCTGGTACAAAACTTTATTAAGAACATTCTGTGAATTACATTAGGACATAGAGAGGAGTTAAGAAGACTCCTGCCAAGAAAATCCAAGTTATTTTTTAACTTACAAATGAGTTTTAATATTTCTAAAGAAGATGCAGGCTGAAGAAAAGCAGACAGAAAATTATTCAGGATGAGTATTTACCCTTAGTTATTGCTATCACAGGGGTGAGGATGTGATTTCAGTGCTGCTTCAGGTATCAAAGCACTCTTCATTCAGGTGTTTATCTGACACTTTTTAAAGCTGTGACAACTGCCCAGGATCAGCAAGTACAGCGTGTACTTGTTTATTCTGTTCCTCATCACGTGCTTCCCAAAGCTCTGCTATCAGCAGCAGAACACAAACAACACTTAAATCCTGGAGACTGAAGAGGAAGCAGAAAAAAAAAGATGGTTTAGGTAATAATAAAATCTTTTTACTGCATGATGGAATTGTGCACCCTGATTATGGAAACTAATAAATCAATTTTCCTGTGGGAAAAAATGTGGACAGATTACATATACATAATATTTTTTTTAGACACACATACATATATAGTAATTCTCTCTCTCTCTCTCTCTCTCTCTCTCTCTCTCCCTCTCGAAGGTCTATGTAGATACACAAAGAGATGTTGATGTCACTAATTTATCGAGGAATTCCACTGCATTTTTTAAGTTGGAAACCTAAAGCCAAGTTTAATGTGAGGCCAGTCTAAGTAAGCTATCAATACTAGTTTTACATCAGAAGGATCACTGTTAACTTGGTCCTGTCCCCAGGGGCCAGGAGAGATGATAAGGCAAGAACAGAGATTTGGCATTCCTCAGCGTAACCACAGGACCTCTAAAAACCACCACTGAGGGACATGCTGAAAGTTTGTTTTGCAGTGGGTGTACCCAGTCTAGTGGCTAAGATCTGTGTTCCTGCTGGCAGGATGTATACACCTGCACACTGCAACGTGTCAGTCATTCAGGGCCCTACTTACTGTCACCCAACT